TCAACTAAGATCAAGGACGAAGGAAGAAGAAGAAAAGGAAAAAGAAGAAGAAGACAAAGAAGAAGAAGAAGAAGAAGAAGAAGAAGATGATGATGGAGGATACCACCTCCATTCCCACTCACCTCTCTTTGCTACTTGGACAATTGGTGTTGACACACTTCTTTCTCCTTCCTTGGCTATGATCTTCTCCCTCCTCAAAGTTTTCACGTTCCACCTTCCCTTCAACTTGATGCAGCACTTGTTGTCCTCTCTATCCTTCTCACGTCATCCTCCTCCCTCATGCTCAACAAGCTCCCCCCTTCGCCTCTCTTTAGCTATGGTGACCTCCTCCTCTAAGGCTATGGAGTCCTCCCCTCTAAAGGGCTATAGGGACTCCCTCTAGCCTTTCCTCCTCTTCCACAGTCCGGGGGATGCGGCAGAGCACCTCCCTAGGCCAGGGCCACTTCTCCTAGTCCTAGCTACTAGCCTAGAGTCCCTCTCCTAGCTCCAATCTGGCTGCGGTTCCCCTCCTCTCACTCCGGTTGAGCTTAGAGCTCACCTTGGTGCACTGGGGCAGCATCTACTTGCCTCATGTGGCCGCATATGCTCCGCCCACCCCTAGGCTTAAATAGGTTGGGCACAGTGCTCCACCCATCCCTAGGCATCTCCCATGTGCTCCAAGTGAGCCGAGGTGCCCCCAAGGCCTCCCATTATCAATGACCCTTTCTGAAAGCACCTCGGCCTCATTTTGGTCACGTACATGCAGTCCGAGTGGTTGGTACCAACTCGGACAGCCTTTGGGAGCCTCCTATGCTTTACTTTCATCTGTAGATGTTGTCCACTAGATCCGGATGATCAATGGGCAGGCTGTCTTGAAAAGAAAAGGCATTTTGGGCCTCTCCTCAATTTTTCTCAAGTCCTACTCAAATCTGAGTGGGCCGAGGTACATCTTGTACCCGGTGCATCCCAGGCCACGCATTTGGCCAAGATCCATGGCCATATTTAATCTGAACTAGGCTCAAGTGGCCACATATCTTGGCAAGTTCCACGACACTCCCGCCACCGGGCATTTTGGAGTCAAGTGTACGATTGGCCGACTTCGTGAGCGCTTTTGGTGGCCCGGTCTTCTCGACAACGTCACACGCTATTGCGAGTCAAGCGAGGTTTGCCGACGTTGCAAACCCCGCGATCATCGTTCGTACGACGAGTTGTGACCATTACCGGTCCCCTTGCGCCGAAGCGAAGCAATTGCCATGAATATTACCGGGCCGTTCCCCAAGCACAAGACCGGTGTGGATGGGATTCTCACGGTGGTCGACCGACTCACCAAGTTTGCCATGTTTTTGCCTTGCCGAATCATGCCAAGGCATTGGAATTGGCCAAGGTTCTCTACGCCGGTTGGATTCAAACCAAGGGTTACCCCAAGGAAATCATTTGCAACCGCGACACTCGGTTCATGTCCGATTTCTGTTTGGCGCTCATCAAACGATGGGGCTTATCTCTCAAGCCGAGTTCGGCTCGCCACCCCCAAACTGACGGCCAAACGGAGAGGGCGCATCAGACCGCACAGGTTCTCCTTCGCACTCTCATCCGTCACGACCAAAAGGATTGGGTTGAGCGGCTGTCAGATGTCGAGTTGGCATACAACTCGTCCATTCATCCGGCTATCGGGATGTCGCCCTTTGAGTTCGAGCATGGCTCGCTGGTCACTTCTCCACTGGACACAATTATCCCACCGACGGCCGAGAGCGACGACCATCTTCTCTTCATTCGTCGGATGCAAGAGCTTTTTGTCAAGGCACGCGACCAGATGTCGAAGGCACTGCAACGTATGAGCCAACAGGCCAACCGCCAGCGTCTTCCTTGTCCGTTCCGCGCCGACAACCTCGTATGGGTCTCCGCCGCGGAGTTCAGCCTCGACCAAGATATCTCTCGCAAGCTCCTTCCGAAATGGATGGGGCCCTGGCCCAATGTGGCACCTGCTGGGGATGCATCCGAAGGACCCTCCTTTGTCATTCAGGTGCCTGCCCACTTGCCCGTCCACCCGGTCTTCCATTGTTCTAAGTTAGCGCTGTTCACTCCAGCGGAGCACGACGACTTTCCTGGACGACGATCGGAAGACCCACCCTCTATGGACGGTTTTCAAGAGGTTGGCGACATCATCTCCCAGCGATGCTACGGCAACAGGCCGACATAGTACTTGGTACATTTCTCTTATTGTAGCCATAAGGCTGACCGTTGGTTGACCCGTGCAAAAGTTCAGGAAACAGCGCCCGATGCTCTCACACGTTACGAACGCAAGTTACAAGGCAAGCCGGTACCTTTGGCTCCACATCGTACTAGCATCCAGGTTCCACCTTCGGATCGTCAGCTTGGCCCTCGACCCGGCTTGACTTCATAGGAAGGGGGGGATGTTACATGCTGAGCCTGCACACGGGCCCCATTTCAGAGGCCCGACCGTTGCTGAGGGGCCCCCAGGCCGCGTTCCCATTGGACACACGCCCTGGAGGCCCACGGCGGCCCTCATTACAGGCAACATTCATTTACTTGTTCATTTGTTTGCTGTCCTATTTTTTCTGTTCAGACGTCTTTCGGACTTGCAGTCCCCAAGGCTACGACTTGGATTGGGTACACCAGGGGCAGGGCTGTTTGAGGCCAGGCGCTTTTTTGCGCCTTGCTGCATCAGCAGCACAGTCTGGACGCCCGGTAGGGGCCCAGACCATATTGGCAGTTTTTGGCCAGCATCAGAGGCACACCCAGCCAGGCCAAGCGCTACTTATAGCTGGGCTACGGCTGGGCACACACACAGTTCGAGTAGCTCACTTCTTGGGCGACGCACTGCTGGACCAGCACCACAAGCTATAACGCTGCACTGCGTTAGAGTAGAGGCGAGGGGCGGAGGCCATACCTGCATTGGCGAGCTTACCTGGGGCCATAGCTGGGGCTCCACGCCGATGCCCTGCACATGACGACGACGACGGCAGTCAGTACCAGGCCGCCCCCTGCAGGTGAGACAGCGAGGAGGACGACATCTTCTTCTTCTTCTTCGTCCTCCATCTCCCCTCCCTCCTACCCTCTTCTTCTTCTTCTTCTTCTTCTTCTTCTTCTTCTTCTTCTTCAGAGAGAGATTACTGGTAGAGGTTACATCGGGCATACGCCCAGGATCTGATTCGACATTTTGCGGCAGACATTGATTGGACACGCGGCAAGGGACTATTTTTGGACTTCGCTATTGCGATCTTGGTCTTCTCCCTCACCTCCATCCTCGTCTCGCCTCCTCCCCCCTTCTCGCATCCATGGTATCTCCCCCATGTGTGTGCGCAAGGAGGGACCTTTCGTCCGTGTACGTGGTCCGTCCTCCCTCTCTCACATGTGTGGTGTATGATGGGGTGTCGCATCAGTATCTGACAGGTCAGGTCATATCTTTGAGTTTTCCGTTGCGCTACATTGTGCTATTTTCATATGAATCTGGATGTACATTGCTTGTTGAGGCTTGGCTGACACTGCATTGTCCATACGAGTCCTTTTCATCACTTTGCGGATCCTTGGCTCCCATACATTGCTCGATTGGGCATGTTACAATCAAAGTGCAAGGAAAATGAGCAATAGAGTAATGACAGAATTCAGATTGCAAATGCAAGCAGAAATGCACTGAAATGCCACCGAAGGAGAATCAAAGCAGCGAGCTCAATTGTCAATGAAAGCATGTTCTCGCCATCACCACAAATGCCATCGAAGTTCTTGTCTCTACCGGCGCTCAGCGCCCAGACTACTTCCTACAGCTACTATCCTACAACTACCAAATGGCGTGACGTAGCTTCAGTCTCGGCCAAAGTGTCTATGCCCAGGCCCATTCACACAGTGGCCTGGGACCGAATTGGTTAGGTGAGACCAACCACCCCGGCACAAACGTACGGTGTACCCTGCTTTCACCACGTTGCTGGAAGAGCCTGGAAGGCTCACAAATATTTTGGATTCTCTCGAGCAAGGCGGACGTAACCAACTGGTGCGTGGCAACTGTCTGGCGCCCAACAAGATTTACAAAAATTGACGAATTCAGGGCTCATTGAGATTCAGGGGCCCGCCTTCACTTAGGGCGGGCACACGTTTGCTGCCGAGGGCCTTATGCTGGTATGCCGAGGGGTAAGTCCTCGCACTCCCTCCTCCTTTACTTCGATAGTCCCTGAGAAGTCATTATACAGCAGGCTGCTTCCCTTGGGGGTAAGGAAAAAGAGTGGGAGGGTTAATAACCATTGAGATTCAGGGGCCCGCCTTCACTTAGGGATGGCACACGTTTGCTGCCAGGGGCCGTATGCTGGTATGCCGAGGGGTAAATCCTCGCATTCCCTCCTCTACTTCGATAGTCCCCTGAGAGGTCCTTATACAGCAGGCTGCTTCACGTGGGGGTAAAGAGGAAGAGTGGGAGGGTTAATAACATCTAAATGTTTGTGCGACAAGATAACAGTATGCATTCACATGCATGTATAATTTATCGTAAAATGTAAAATGTTTAAGAGCTACGTCCTTATATTCTACATAAAGAAATGGGAAAAAGCTGTGCAAAGTTGTTAGTATCTGGGGATGGGCAGTCTGTAGCCTAATCCGCAGATGTAGATCTGAGAGCATGACACTATCTATGTATAGGGTATGGCACAATACCTTCCAATACAGTACATGTCTGAGGGCCTGTTGTGGCTTCACGCGCAACCAAGACTGTGTGTCATGGGTGCGTTGGGGGGAGGGGCGGAGGGGCGGAGTGAAAGGCATTTCACGATGCAGACCCCAAATTTGAATCTCAGGGTCAAGGCCCCAAGCCAAAAAAGAGGCCAGGTCAGCCAGATTCAGAAAGGTTACGCGGGGCACCCCAGAGGTCAAGTCTAACAGGTACCCGGGCAACAGTCACATCCYAGAGGCAAAAGTCACGTCTCACAGTCACAGAGAGAGAGAGAGAGAGAGAGAGAGAGAGAGAGAGAGAGAGAGAGAGAGAGGCGGAGGGGCGAAGAGCGGGGCACCAGACACACCTCGATTATGTTTGACATCTTCTGCTGGTCTCTTCTTTTTCTGCACTCCAAGCATATCGAAGCACAAGTCTAGCATGGACGTTGATACCTGTAGGAACAGTTGTCAGAACTGAAAGACATTACTCCAAAGAGGACACATTACATTCCCTGATAATGCTGATAAGCTTTCATGGCTGCAGATACCAGACTGCTATTCTGAGCCTTTGGTTGAGTGCCATGATTTTCACGTCAAAGTCGTCAACCGATATCTGTGAGACCGTGTCATCCAAGTCAAAGTTTGTCGGTTAACCGACATTGGTGGGAAAAGGCTAGTGCTAACTGTTATCGATGCCCAATAATGATACCAGATTAAGTGCACAATGGACAACATCACAACATACCAGAGCACAGCAAAATAACCATGTACATTTGAGGCGCAAAACCAGCAAGGCATCCTCACTAGGCCAACATTTTGCAACAAAGCAGAAATGTAACCTGGCAGGCACTCCGTCATGATATGGTTTCTTCACAGCCTCATCCAAGACCAGTTATTTTCCCGAAGTTTGAAGTTCAGGGTGCCAGCATCAGTTTGTGAAAGGGAATGGTGAATGCCTGGATAATCGGTCAGCACATGCATGAGTGATCAACAGAGGAATAAATGGCGGGTTGCAAGATGGAGGAAGGAACAGAGATACAGGAGATGTGCATTGAGCCACACTGCTCGTCACCTTGAACACACACACACCATGAGAGATCACACGAAATCCACACTGGAGACCAGAGATGCGGAGTCCAGATTAGCGCAGCTTAGAACTTCCGACGAATTATCATATTAAACAGTTTCTGAGTCCCAGTCACCAAACGCCCAACAGCGCAGAGTTCAGCAAACCAAATCCAGCATCCTCATCTAGGTAGGTGACCTCCTCTCTCCCTCTTTCACTTCTCTCTCTCTTCTTCATGCATGCGCTCACTCTCTCTATCGCTCTACTTGAAGATCTTGACTCTGGATACATCCGCTACTACTCAGCTCTACCTCCTACTACTAGCTGTGCGGCTATGGTCGCCTTCCTTCCTCAGCACAGCGCTGCCCAGCCAGGGCTCCAGCGCTAGCTACTCGCAGATAGCTCACAAGCGCCTCAGCAGCACTTCCACACTTCTTGCGAATGAGCAATCTCGGAAATGTGGCTGGCCAGTCCTTATATTGACTTGGACTGAGCCTTGACTCGTCCCAGCCTCTGCTTCTCTTGGCTTGACTTGGACCCGGAACCGGTTGCCCGCGGCCTGTTTGCTTCAGAATGTTGAGGCCCAGTACCTTCCTGGGTTTTCCTTTGCGTGCTGCTGCTTTGGGTCTGTGGGACGTGACCTTCGCGTCTTGGTCGTGACCCTTGCCTGTGGAATATGATTTTTGACTGCGAGACGTGACTCTTGCCTGTGGGACACGACCTTCGACTGCAAGACGTGACCCTCGCTTGTGGGTTATGACCTTTGACTGTGAGACGTGACTTTTGCCTCTAGGATGTGACTGTTGCCCGGGTACCTGTTAGACTTGACCTCTGGGGTGCCCCGCGTAACCTTTCTGAATCTGGCTGACCTGGCCTCTTTTTTGGCTTGGGGCCTTGACCCTGAGATTCAAATTTGGGGTCTGCATCGTGAAATGCCTTTCACTCTCGCCGGCCTGATTTCGAGGTCGTCCGAGAAAGTTACAATCTTTATCCGTCAACTATGTTGATTCCTCGTCTAGCTCTCTCATAGTAAGACACTATTTGCCGTGCGGTCTCTACTACCTCATCTCTAGTAAACCAGTGATCTTCCAAAGGTTCTTGATAGGCAATTCTGACCTTATCTTGTCGCTGGGGTCTACCCCTGCATCCAGACCTATTAACATCCTCTGCAATGATGCGGTCCACGTCATACTTGCCATCCATGTCGGGAGGAATCATAGATCTTCAAGACGGAAATAGCTCATTGCTGACTCAAGGAAGCATCTTAGAGGCATGAAACACCGGGTAAGTGTGCAAATGTAGAGGAATCTCAACCACATAGGAAGGACCATCCACATCACCAATCGCGTCAAGTATCTGCCACGGTCCCCTGTACGCAGGCAACAACTTTTGTGAGACGTTCTCCTCTGGGACTGGGACTGTGGCTTTTGACTCGTTGCCGGACAGACATGACTTTCCATCGAGGAGACATGACCCTAACTCAGCCTTGAGAACTGTGTCCAATACCTGTTCGTGCAGGACCTGTTTGTGACTGTTCAAGACGACTTTTCATTTCATTCTGGATGCGACATTTGCCTGAGGAACTTTGTCTTTTGGGTTGCTGCTCGTGAATTTAAGTTCTGGCCGACAGGGCCCCTCGCTGTTGGGGCATTCATCTGGGGTTTAATTCGTAAAGGCCCTTTTACTCTCGCCGGCCTAATTTTGAAGTCCTTTGAGAAACCCTTATCTGTCCTCAATATTGACACCTCTTCTTGCTCTTTCATAGTAAGATACTATGTTCGGTGCAGTTTTAATTAACTCTTCCCTAGAAAACCAGCGGTCTTCACTTGGATCTTGATAGGTGAATCTGACTTTATATTGCCGCTGAGGTCTACCTCTGCGTCCAGTCTGGAAAGTACTTTCAGCAACGATCTTATCAACATCAAATTTCCCATCCATACTTGGAGGAATTGCTAACCTTCGACTGGAAAACAGTTCGTTAGTTACACAAGGTAAGAACTTTGACGCATGGAACACCGGGTAGGTATGCAAGTGTGGAGGTATCTCAATAATATAGGAGGGTCCATCTACATCTCCATCACACCCAATACTTGCCACGGTCCTCTATAGGCAGGTAACAATTTTTGAGATATGTTTTCCTCTGAGATAAATTCCTTCTATTTTACCCAAACCAGATCACCTACAGCAAACTGAGAAGGTCTCCTGTGTTTATTGGCCTGTTCAATCATTTGGTGTTGCGCTTTTATGATGTCTTACTTTGCTTTTTCTAAATCTTTCTGATACTGCATTGTGAACTCTCTGGTCCCTGGTGGAAGTTTATGTGCCCTATCCGGGTTTAGACAGTCTATAGGCCTGCAAGGACTCCATCCCAAATGTAACTCCATCGGAGTTCTGCAAGTAGTCAAGTGCACAGAGTTGTTGTAAGCACTAGCAACCTTGGGCAAATGTTCATCCCAGTCAATCTGGTCGGGACGAACGTACATACACAGCGTCTGCTGCAGGAGCTTGTTCATTTGCTCAGTTTGCCCATTTGTCTCAGGATGTCGGCCTGATGACATCATTAGTTTACAGCCATAGACATTCATTAGTTGCTGCCATTGCTCACTGGTAAACCGAGAGTCTCTATCACTAACGATAGTTAAGGGATGCGCGTAGTCCTTTACCCAATGGTTAAAGAATTCCTGAATTACCAAGTCAGTTTTAGCTTCCGCAGGCAATGCTACAAAAACCGCAAACTTGCTGAATCTATCGACAATTACCATAACTTGGCTTTTTCCATTCCTGCTTTTCACTTTCGTGTCCATAAAATTGATAGACACAGAATCTCTAGGACTTGTTGGGATAGGCAAAGGTTTCGATAGACCAAGGGGAAGTTGTGTGGTGCTTTTGTTCTGTTGGCATACTTGACAGCCTTGCACATATGCAATACAATCAAGTTTCATTCAAGGCTAAGCGTAAGAACATAAGAGATTAGCATAGGTTTTTCTCCATCCGAAATGGCCTTCGGTATCATGGCATTCCCCTAAGACCACACTTTTGATTTCTTCCTTGTTTGGAATACAAAGCCTATCATGCACATCAGTTCTTTCAAACAACAGTCCTTGGGTTACCCGACAGTTAGGAAACTCTTGTGGCGTTTCTTGAACACATTTCAGTATAGCGCCATAAACAGGATCGGTGGAATAAGCATCCCTAATCTTATCTTGTATATCGGTGCCTATGTCTAAATACGTTACAATAGCACCGAAGAAGTCAGATCTTCGACTCAATGCGTCAGCAACAACATTATACTGACCCTTTACTGGCTTTAATTTCTTCTTTCCACCGTGCGGACTAGGGAGCCAACACTCATGGTCCCTCAACTTCACATCCGCATCCGCAGCTTCCCCACAACCTGTGCCTAAGAGAATTTCAAAAGGGAGACTATCTTCCACCAAGAGAGTCAGAGAGTGAAGAACGCGTTCCACCTTCCCCTCTGCTTCGAACCGAAAGTATTTCTGAATCCCCTCAACATATCTATTTATCACAATCTCGCTACTATTCGCTAATTTACTTACTACGGGCTCTTCCAACTGTTTTACCTTCAGCCCGAGACGCAGCTTTTGCAAACCTTTCTTACTAATATAGTTGCATGTTGATCCATTGTCAATCATACCACCTACTCTTACTTTATTGACTTCTAAATCTGCAATAATTAGCTGTCCTTTTCGTTTTTTCATTTCGACCCAGGCTTTGCGACGAGTGGCCAACTCATCACCCATACCTGTGAGGGATCCACCTAGAGAGGTACATACACTAACTACCTCTGGACAACTGATTAGGTGGGGATCGTTTACCTTTTCAGTTTCTGCCACGAGAACTTTCGAATGGGAGGATGTCAGTCTACTTGCATCCGAAGTTCCTGTAGAGGCAACTGAAACCCCTACTGGCTGATCCCTTTTGGTTGTTTATAGTCTGGGCAGAAGGGAACGATGTGGTTGAGGTCACCACATTTGAGGCATTGATCGGCGGCTTTTCTATCTTGCCAAACTTTTTCTATGATTCCTAACTTTTCCCAAGGTCTGCCTTCGGGCAGCCCAGAATGGGGTGGATACGGACGATCCCAGTTCTCGTTCCACGTGCCTCTTCCTCTTCCCCATGTGGAGTTGGGTCCTCGGCCACCTTGTGAGGGACCACTGCCCCTTCCTCCCACGTAGTAGCTTCCTTCGCCACCACCCCTCTGGGTGTCGAGTCCTCTTCCTCCACGACCATGACCTCCTCTTCCTCTGCCACGGCCTCTTCCTTGTCGCCCTCCCCCCCGGGCTGCAACGGTCGCGTAGTCCCCCTCCTGAACTACCGATCCGTTGTGAGCATCTCCCTCCAGACCATAGTCTATCTGGTCGTATGA